GACATGAGCTGCCAAGGCTATGGAAGCCTTTTGAGTCCACAAACTCTGACATTATTTAGACAGGGCCATAACCAAAGTAGAAGTTCTCTTTACCCTTCAGAGAAAGGTACCTCCTTCTTTGATGGTCCCTTCTTTCCTCCAGGATCTCACTCACAGAGATCTTTCTGGCCATTTTTTGCCACAGTGTCTTGGCTTTCCATGCCTGAAATGCTCTCATGGGCTTTTTAGCCAGATCTGAATGCCTTAAGGGCTGATTCTGAAGCCAGAGTGCTGTTTAGGGCATTTGTCAGTCTATGAGTCTACTGTGTGGCCTGCTTCCCATGTTGAATCATTCTCTCTCTTTTAATTCTATCTATTGTTATTAGCAGACACTTGGTCTTATTTATGTGATCCCTTTGACACTTATTCCTATCTTTATGATTAGTTATGCACTTAAAATGATCACTTTAACATGTAAGTGGCATTAGCGCCTGCCAACTTAATGGGATTTGGAGTTCCATGGCAAGTTTTTTGCTTTACCCTTAGGAGTAAGTATGAGAGAACGTGTGCCGAACCTTACATGACAATTTAAGTCAAGCCCACAAAGACCCCTGAGAAGTCCCCAGTATATTCACTTATTCAACAAATCTTATGATGTATCTCTTAAGTGCCAGGCACTGTGCTGAGTCAGCAGGAGGTCAAATCAAGCACAGTCCTGGATTCCACGGAGCCTCTGGCCGGAAGGAGACAAGGGCAGACATTTAGCCTAGTGGCTAAGATGCCAGTGAAGGGGTGGGCATCTGGTCCAGTGGTTAAGACACTGGAACATCCACATCCCATGTGGGAATGCCTGGATTCAAGTCCTGGCTCCACTCTCTACTCCAGCTTCCTGCTAATGTGCATCCTGGGAAGCAGCAAGTCACAGATCAAGTGGCTGGGTCCCTACTATCCACATGGGATACTGGGATTGAGTTTTTTTTTTTTTTTAAGATTTATTTATTTGAAAGAATTATAGAGAAGCAGAGAGAGAGAGAGAGAGAGAGAGAGAGAGAGAGGTCTTCCATTCACTGGTTCACTCCCCAGATGGCCGCAATGGCCAGAGCTGCGCAGATCCAAAGCCAGGAACCAGGAGTTTCTTCTGGGTCTCCCATATGGGGGCAGGGGCTCAAGGGATTGGGCCATCTTCTTCTGCTTTCCCAGGCCACAGCAGAGAGCTGGATTGGAAGTGGAGCGGCCGAGGCTCAAACCAACGCCCACATGGGATGCCAGCACTACAGGTGTCAGCTTTATCCGCTACTCCACAGCACTGGTTCCTAGATTGAGTTCTAAGCTCCTGGCTTTGGTCTGGTCCAGCCCGGGCTGTTATGCACATTTGGGAAGTGAAACAGCAGATAGACTATCTCTGTCTCTCTGCTCTTCAAAAAAATGAAAATAAACTTTTAAAATGTTTTAAAAAGATATGCTGGTTAAGACATTTACATCCCATATCAGAATGCCCATGTTCACTCCTTGGCTCCAGTTCCTGAGTCCAGTTTTTCACTTACACACACCCTGGTAGGCAGCAGGTGATGGCTCAAGTAATTAGGTCCCTGCCGTCCACCTTGGAGACTTGGGTTAAGTTCCCAGCTGTCAGCTTCAGCCCCACTCAGGAGTCACTACAGGCATTTGAGGAAGTGAACCAACACATGGGCATTGTCTGTCTCTGTGTGTCTGTCTTTCAAATGAATAATTTAAAAAAAAAATTTTTTTTTTTTGACAGGCAGAGTGGACAGTGAGAGAGAGAGAGAGACAGAGAGAAAGGTCTTCCTTTGCCGTTGGTTCACCCTCTAATGGCCGCCGCGGCCAGCGCGCTGCAGCTGGCGCACTGCGCTGATCCGAAGCCAGGAGCCAGGTACTTCTCCTGGTCTCCCATGGGGTGCAGGGCCCAAGCACTTGGGCCATCCTCCACTGCACTCCCTGGCCACAGCAGAGAGCTGGCCTGGAAGAGGGCAACTGGGACAGAATCCGGCGCCCCAACCGGGACTAGAACCCGGTGTGCCAGCGCCGCAAGGCGGACGATTAGCCTAGTGAGCCGCAGCGCCGGCCTAATTTAAAAAAATTTTAAAAACAGGCAAGACAGAAGGTAGTAACATAAGTAACCAAATCCATGCATGCACTGTGCTGGGGGCTTTGCAGTAAGGGGGTGCAGTCAACTGGACATAAGAGGGTGCCACCTTGACAGTTTAGCAACTGGGAGGGGTGGGGCAGGAGTTGAGGCTGGGGAAGAGGCACTGTTCCAGCAGACAGCCCAATGGGCTGGGGGAACACCATGGGGTCAACAGCTAAGAAGCAGCCAGTGTCGTGGGAAGCAGGATGCCAAGGGTGGGTGGATGATGAAATTCAGGGAAGAAGTCAGGGACGGGGAGGGGTCATGCAGACCTTTGGGGCCCTTTAGAAATGAGGTCTTTGGGCACCTACATCCCATATGAGTGCCAATTCAAGTCCCTGCTGCTCCACTTCCAATCTAGATACCTGCTAATGTGCCCGGGAAGACAGCAGAAGATGGCTCAAGTGCTTGGGCCCCCGCACCCATGTGGGAGCCCTGACTTTGGTCTGGCCCAGCCCTGGCCATTGCAGCCACTTGGAAAGTAAACCAGCAGATGGAAGCTCTCTCTCTTTCTCTGTATGTAACTCTACCTTTCAAATAAATAAATCTTTTTTTTTTTTTTTTTTTTTTGGACATGCAGAGTTAGTGAGAGAAAGAGAGAGACAAAGAGAAAGGTTTTCCTTTTTCCGTTGGTTCACCCCCCAAGTGGCTGCCACGGCCAGCGTGCTGCGGCCGCTGCACTGCGCCAATCCGAAGCCAGGAGCCAGGTGCTTCTCCTGGTCTCCCATGCAGGTGCAGGGGCCCAAGCACTTGGGCCATCCTCCATTGCCTTCCCGGGCCACAGCAGAGAGCTGGACTGGAAGAGGAGCAACTGGGACAGAATCTGGCGCCCCTACCAGGACTAGAACCCAGGGTGCCGGCGCTGTAGGCGGAGGATTAGCCTAGTGAGCTGCGGCGCCAGTCAAATAAATCAATCTTAAAAAAAAAAAAAAAAAGTGAGGTTTTTATCTCAGAAGCAGGGTACTTCGGTGTGTAATGAATAGGGAAAACCACCTGATCAGGCCTGCATGGCTGGGACTCTGCTGTGTGGAAGGGTGGGGGAGATTGGAAGAGGGCCAGAATGGACACAGGCAGTGACCCAGGAAACAGATGGTGGGGGCTCAGCGGAGGATCCGCCAGGGGAGATGGGTGGTAGCCCTGTGTGACCTGAGGGCTGTGACGGAGGTAACATCACTGGCGTCTGGAGGCGGGGAGGGCAGTCCACAGGGAAGTCTGAGGCTCCCCACTCCAGCACGGGGCGGCAGGTTCAGCTGCTTGCAGAGCCAGGGAGCTGAGTGGGAGGAGCAGGCTTGGAGGAAAGAGCAGAAATTCCCCAACATGGATGAATCACACACACCCTGTGCTCTGCGCAGGTCACTAGGCTGGAGGAGGAGAGCCTCAACAGCAGAGACAGCACTCACTTTCCCCTCCTCAGGAGAGGGACCAGCCAGGAGCAAAGGCCCTGCAAATGCCCATCCATGGTCCCCACGGTGCCCGGGGCAAAGGGCTGGGGCACGGAAGTCACTGACAGGTACTCAGCATGTGTCTGTTGTGCCACTCACCGGTAACAGGTGCCAGGGGATAAAAGCCCAACCCAGGAACCTTTACTGGGCTCATGCCTCGGTTGTAAGGAAGAGTAGGGCAAGGTCAGCCCTTGTCTGACGGGGCTTTGGGGAGATCCAGAGAGCGCAGGGCAGACTGTGGGGAGGGTAGGCTGTGAGGACCCCACAGCGGGGCCAAAGGTACATAGGAGAGTCAGGACCCCGGAGCAATAAGAACGGAGCCAGTGTTCCCTAGAGGCTGTGGGCCTGCGGGCCTGGCTAAAGGTCGCATGGAGGGGCGGTCCTGGAGGGGGCGCCCCGCCGCCTTACCCTGGGCGGCCCCGATACCCGCAGTAAGACGCCAGCCTCCCCTCCACCACCTACATACCGGGACCGTCTATTTTTAAAAGTCCTGATTAGAAGCATTGAAGGCATTTTCCCAGAGGGCTCAGGAGCTCCCTGGAGTATCGCTGCGCGGGAGCGCATCCGCCTCCCACCGCCCCGACCCCGCAGAAGACAGCCTCCGCCGGCCTTCCGACTCTCTGAGCTCTCCCAGGAAAGTTCTCTCCGGCCGCCGCCGCGCTACCCCGCAGGCCGAGTCCCCTCGCCGAATCTCTCCGCCTTTCACCCAGCGGAGCCCCGCCGGAGGCCGCGGGGCCGGGATCTGCGGCGCGACCCGGCGGAAGTCCCGGTCACCACGCCGCGAAGAAACAGGGGGTCCGCACCGCGCCGCGGCCCCTCGGAGAGGCAGCGGCCCTGGGGATGACACAGCGTTTCCCGCGCCCCGGCTCCACCCCGCGGGGTACCCGGCAGCCGGCCAGCGGCGCCAGCGAAGCCTCAGCCCGCACGGACCCGGCGTGGGGTTGCGGGCCGGGAGCGCGGCCGCGCGGGGTCTGCCCGCGGCTCCGCGGGGGCGTCAGTCTCCACCCGGGGGAAAAGTTAGGAGGTATCCCGGGCGCTCCAACTTCTCCGGGGCCGTGCTCGAACTTGGCACCCGTGGGAAGCTGCACAGCCCTGGAGCGACCCCGCGGGAGCCGATCGGACCCGGGTGCCGGGGATCCGGGGCCGCGGCCGGCGGCAGCCAATCACAGAGCGCCTCGGGCGGGGAAGGCTGGAGGGCGCGGGCAATCGGAGAGTGACGGCGCCACAGGCCAATAGGGAAGCAGGGTGGGTGTCCTCGCCCGCCCCAGTGACCAATGGGAAGGGGCGGCAGTGGCCGAGGCTCCCCGAGGCACCAGCTGCAGGCTCCGGTGGCCGCGGGTCGGAGACCCTCAGGCTGAAGGGGACTTTAGAAGGGAGTTTGCTCGCCCTCCCTGTGCCACCCGCCGACCTGCAGCCCGCAGCCTGGTCCTCACCTGCTGGAAGCGGGGTTTGCCCAGCTGGAAGGGAGGTGCGTCGGTCGAGGCGCTAGCGGCACTGGCCGCGGCCGCCGCCGCCGGTGCTGTAGTCGCTGTATCCGCCATGGCCACTGACACCCGCAATCTCCGGCCCTTTTAAAATGTCCCTCCTCGGCCCCCGCCACGGCGGCCTCTGCCGATTGGCCACAGGCAACCGCAGCGAGCCGGAGGCGCAGAGGGTTGTGGGGAGTGTAGTCTCTCCCGCCCCGCCGCCCGACAGCCCGGCGCTGCGGAGGGCCCGCCACCTTCCGCGGGGACCGCAAGCCGAGAGGGGCGGCAACGCACGGCTCTGAGTTCCCGGCGGGCCCCGCGGGGCGACCTTTCGCTGTTGACCTGTCCCCTGCAGCTGAAGCCCAGACCAGAAGGGCCCTGCTCAAGCGGGCCGGACCCCAGACCAGACGAGTAAGGACTCCGGGCGGAGCAGGGTTCATCTCGGAAGGCTGTTTGCAAGCAGGTGCGCTGCGGGGAGCTCCCTACAGTTCTGCCGCCACTCTGCCCCCTGCTCTGTGCTCTCCAGCAGCCAATGGGGACATTCTGCACAAGACACACTTTTGTCTTCCCCTCACGCAGGGTCGCTCTGACCTCAACCTAAACATTGCCATTTCCCCACACATCAGCCACCCCCCCCCCCAAAACCCGCCGTGGACTCCCGCAGCGCCCAGCCTTTTCAGGTCTTGCATGTATAACTAGTTCTGGTTTTCAGTATCTGTGTTTCCTACTACAAGGTCCACAGGGCAAGGATCGTGTCTTTAAAAGCAAAAACAAAAACACTGTGTCAACTTTATTTGAAAAGCAGAGTGAGCAAGTGCTGGAGCTCCCATCCACTGGTTCATTCCCCAAATGCTTCCACCTGCTAGAGCTGAGCTAGGCTGCAGTCAGGAGCCCAGCACTCAGTCCCGATCTCCCACGTGGGTGCCAGGGACCCAACTACTGAAGTCATCAGCTGCTGCCTCCCGGGATGAGCATTAGGGGAGGCAGGAATCGAGAGCAGCACGCACACTGGAACCCAGGCACCCTGCTATAAGATGCAGGTGTTCCAAGTGGTGTTGTAACTACTGCACCATGGGCCTGCTAAGTCCTCAAAGCCAGGCACAGGGGGACTCACAGTTGGGGCTCAAATCATGTATTGGCTCTGAGTTAAAACAGGAGAGCAAAGGGCCCCAGAGACCTCCACTTCCCCATCCTTTGGTGAACCAAGTAAGACCCTCTGGTAACTGCTGGGAGGAAGCAAACTGGGAGCTGAGCACCAGGGTTCAGTAGTGTTTACCAAGTAGCAGCAATGAGAACTTTAAATACAAGGAGAACCGCAGGCTGTGGACAAAGCTCCAGCACGGATAATGAACACACTGCTGCAGAATGCAGCAGCTCAATCACCGGGTCAGTGAGCCACACTGGGCCGCCTGCTGCACCCACGAGGGCAGGGATATTGGATCCCCACTCTGGGGAACCCCACTTTGGGTCTCCTTAGTCTCACGGAGTGGTGTGAGGTTGACATGTCTTCTGGATGTTGCATGGGCTATAGCAGTCAGAGCTCCTCTTCCAGGAATGGCTGAACCACAAGAAACCAAATTTCTCAAAAGCCGGAGGGAGATTCTAGCTAGCCCTTTAGAACAATTCGTATTTTGGATCTGTATCTTATCTCCCTCTACCAGCCTAAGAATAAGAATCGATCGTTTTGCCCGCCGCAGTCCCCTGTAATACCCAATAATGAGCCTGGGATGGCTAAGGCTCATCCAGGAACTGCAGCGTCCTGGGAGACAGTCCAGGCCCCCGGGCAACACAGTGCTGCTGCCCCCTGGTGTCAAGGAGGGGGAAGTGTGGCCCCAGAACCCCACCAGCTTGATTTAAGGCTGCTTTCTCCACACTCATTCCAAAATGGGAACACAACAGACACCTGCAGTCCGTGAACGTTTTATTCTTCATAAAGTGCTCAAAACATGAAGAACAAGCTCTTTATAAACAGGAGCTACAACTAGGAAGACAAACAGCAAAGCAGAACTTCACCTGCTCCCTGCCCAGCCCACCTGCAGCTCTGCTCCAACTTGTGGCCAGCAGAAACATCAAGCGAGAACCATGGGTCACATGCCTGCCCTGGGCACAGGGGAGGCTCATGGTTAAGGAGCAGTGGGAGCTCAGAGCTGGGGCTGGGACGGGATGGAGTCCAGAGGGACACCTAGCAGGGGAGTGACCTCCTCCCCCGGAAGAGCTCTCTGTCCGGCTCCTCGTGACCCTCCTGACACGTGACTGCCGTCCCAGGCACCTGTGGCTACCTGTCTGACCAGCACTGATGAGGGCACCTCAGGGTGGGTTAACTCTACAGGGGCTTTCCCCTCTGCTGCACCCTGGCAGAAGACACACATCACCCACAGAGCACGTCTCCTCTGGAGATAGCCCAAAGGCCCTCCCACGGAGAGGTGGTCCCATAGGAGCTGGTGCCTCCTCCCTGGGCCAGAAGAATCTCCCTTCAGCACCTCCTTGTGTCTAGCTTTCACTAGCACCGGCTCCCCCCCAACAAACAGAGGTCCCCTGCAGAAGCCCGGGAGAAGCCCGCTGTTTCCTGCAAGAAACGAGGGGCTGTGGGCCAAAGGACAGATACTTCATTTCAAAGCGTACTGCGAGGCAAAGCCATGTGGGCAAAGGGACAGACAGGGATGGCAGCTTTGTGGGTAGATGGAAGGGCAACCGCAGCTTCTCCCTAAGCTCAGGTGTCTTGCAAAACCAGAGTGGACTTCCCACTTCCAGGCCTGAGGTCAGACCGAATGAGAGCGCAGGGCAGCCCCAGGCCGCCCTGCCCATCCGTGAGTTTATCCTCAGATCCCCCAACTGGAGAAGGTAGCTGAGGAAGCAGCAGCAGCCTGGCCAGACGCTTAACAGAGATGAACTCCAGGAGAGGGCAGGGCACACAGCAGGGCTGCCCCCACCCTCCACTGGCAGTCCCAGGTCCTGGCAGAGCCCTCCCCATGTGCTCAACAGGAGGGAAAGGGACACGACCCAGGGGAGAGGTCTACAACCAGAGGCGCTGGACCTCGCCCACAAAAGGCACATTTTAATTGGTTTCCAAAAGTTCAAACCCTGCAGCAGCAGAGTGTTGGCATCTGAACAGGCAGCAAGAACAGACATGGAGGCTTGATCCCCAAACCCTAAGCAGCCCAAAGCCCTGACCTGCAGGGGTCCACACATCCGAGGCGTGAGAACCTGAAGAGCTAGGAGCAGCTCCCTGCCCACCACCCCGACCTGCCACACGTTCACAGGTGACCCACAGTGGAAAGGTCATGAGAGGGGGCACGGAGCGTCCTGGAGAACATACTGCATCCACCCCTGCCACTGTGACCATTCCGCCAGCAGCAAGGATGGAAACGGACTCAGGACACGGCAGAGACCAGGCTAGACCGCACAGGCTCCCCACTCTCAGAGCGACAGGTGTGCGGCTGAATAGTAGGCACCCTGGTTGTTCCTAACTCAGACAGGTAGCATGGTCCCTGTCCCCATCCCAGTGACATTAGGAGCCCCTCTGGGGGCTGGAGGATGAAGGTTTGGTGGTGGCAAGAAATGGCCAACCATCCACGGGGTAAGGGTGGTGGAGTCTGCGCCAGCCACCAATCCCCTTCCAGTCACATCAAACCACAGTGTGCCCCTGGCTCCATCCTGAGGGTCAAACTCCTTATTCCAATTCACTGGTGCCCCGAAAGCTAAAGGGCATGAATGTGGGCCGGTGGGAAAGACCCAGGGTCCCAAAGACACACGAGACGCACCTGGAGCCGGATGCATCCCTACCAGCAGCCCCAGCAGAGGCAGGAGGGGGAGGGGAGCAGGGAGTGGCCACGGGGCGGTGGCCTGCCCCAGGCCAGTGTTCAGCAGGAGCGAGGGAGGGCGCATGGGTCCTGTGTGGCAGCCAGTCCCAGCCGACCCTCCCTGGGCAGGGGGATGAGGGCTACTTGGGGGTGCCGGGAGGGATCTGCAGCAGTGTGGGCGAGGTCTCCATGATGCGCACCAGCAGCCGGTCGATGTAGCTCTCCAGCTCCTGCACATGCTCATCTCGCTGGCTCAGCTCGCGCTCCCGCTGCAGGAGCAGGCAGATGAGCTCGTCGTGGGTCAGGTGGTAGTACTTGGCCGACTGGTCCAGCACAGCCGAGTCCTGAGGCCAGCAAACGATGGTGAGCGGGGCAGCCGCCTGCACGCTGGCCCCATCCGCCACCAACACCCAGTTGCACCAGCTCAGGCCCCCAGAGCGGCCTCTTGTCTCCCAGGCCAAAGAAGGCCCACCTGGCTTCAGGACCCTGGCGTGGGAGACCCAGGCTGCTCCCCACCGCAGCCTCCCTAGCACCCTGCCCCAGGACTCCTGGCCTCTCCCCACAGCACCCCACATCTGCCAGATGTCCCCAGCACCCTGCTGGGCCTCACCTTCAGCCTCCTGGTGTCCACACTCTGGCCAAGCTGGGGTGCAGGAGCCACTGGCTGAATGCTGCCGGACGTGACTGTCTTGAGTCTCTCCAGCCCGCTGCTCAGGGCTGTGCTCAGACTGGAGCGGGACTGCTTCCTGTCGGGGCTGCCCTCCGCGGGGGCCGCGCTGAGGGGCTTCACGGGGTGGGGACTGTGAAGATAGACAGGAGACAGGCCGTGAGCAGAGAGGAGTGGCACAGCCAAGGTGGGGCCAGCTTCCCTGCGCAGCCTGTGGCCTGCTGGATGGGCAAGGCCTCCAGGCAGCTGTGCCCAGCATTCCTCCATCTGTGCCCGGTCAGGGACAGCAGAGACCAGCCTACAAAGTTGTGCCCCTGGGCCCATTCCCTCACTCCCCTGCCGTGCTGTGACCTCTCTCCAGGGGTGAGACCAACCCTCCCAGCTCCCTGGGACTGTGTGGATTCCCAAGACAGGATGTTAAAGCCAGGGAAGACCCACCTCTGGCTACCAGCTGCTTCCCAGCCCTATCTAGACGGGACTGCCAACCCTCCCCAGCCCTGCATGTGCTCCGCTAGGACACGCTCAGACAGCTGCCTTCCTCTTCTCACCAAGCCTCTGCAGAGCCCTCAGAGACGTTCTGGCTCCACCTGCTTACCTCCTGTGGACTCCTGCACTCACCAGCCCCCCACAAGTGCACCTGCTGAGGGTGCCAACCCTGTGAGTTCTTACCTCCCTGACCACCGTGGAGCCTGCACTTGCACCACTGCAGCCTTTAGACCACACTGCTTTCCCCCACCCCACCCCAGACCGGCATCTGGCTTCTAGGCCTCTGACGGCCCCTCCCCAGTCCTGGCGCTTGTCTATCCTTGGGTTACCCCCCATCTCCACCTCCAGGCCAGACCTCTCTGGCTCTCTCACACTCCCTCCACACCGCCCTTTTCTTAGCCTCCTCAGGGCTCAGGTCAGAGCTGGGACTGATCTCCAGCCTCGTCCTGCCCCCTCCCCACCAAGCCAGTGCTGGCGGGAGGTCCTTGTGGCCCCAGCCGCTAAATCAGCTCCTCCCCTGCAGTCTGTGGAAACCTCTCCTCCCTCCTGCCGCAGGACAGCAGGAAGGTGACCTTGGCCCTCCAGAGGCTCCCTGTCATGGTAACGCAATCTGGCCCCTGCCCCTTCCTCACCACCTCCGCCCCCACAGCCACAGGAAACCGTGCCTTCTCTTATTCTCAGGCTCTTATACAGAAGCTATTCCTCTGTAGGAACACTGCCCCTTCCTTCCGTCAGCCTGCTAATTCCTACACGCTTCTGAGCTGTGCAAGATCTCTCCTCCAGGAAGCCTTCCTGATCCCCGAGCTGACTTCTGCTCCTCTGACAGCTACGCAGACTGTGAGCAGTAGGCCCTGCCCTGGGCACTTCCTACAGATGAATGCGCACTGTGCTGAGGATCTAGACCACCCTGGGGTGGAAAACTAAACACCCTAGTCCAAGGCCCTAACCTCCACCAGGAGGAGGGTCACCCAGACCCAGAGAAGCCAGCTATTATTAGGTGGTATGGCTGTAGGTTCTCTCAAATCGGCAAGCATGGCAGAGCGCCCAGGCTCGGGGCAGCACCCATCGGGGTCCCTTCCTGCTGTGCACTAGGAGCCTACATCAGGCCAGGACTGGGTGGCAGCTCCAGGATGGGGAGGGCAGCCAATGCAGCCCCAAAGCGCCCAGTCTGAGGGGTCTCCAGCAGAGGGACCCTGGAGCCCGCAGTACTCGTGGACCCCATTTCCTCACGCAGAAATGGTGACAGCTCTACGTGGCCCACCCACCTCACGATGGAAGGCCTGGGCCAGGCACAGACACCAAGCCAATCCCCTCTGGGAAGAACCACACTTCCCCAGCGTGGCAGAGAAACCAGAGGTGATGCTAGGGACAGCATGGGCAGCGAGGACGCTGGAGTCAGGCAGTGACCACCAGCTCGTCCCTCCTGCAAGCTGGGGGCAGCTGGGCTCCCTCCTGCCCGCTGCTCACACAGTAGCACTGGCCACCCAGGTCTGCCCTTGGGTGCACCTGTCTCCCCTGCTGTACTTGGGCTCCCGCCAACACAGGGGGGACAGCGACAGAGAGAGATGCTCAGTGAACTGGCATGAACGGATGTATGCACCAGCCACTGCCCGAGCTCGGAGGCCAGTGCTGGTGCCTGTCTTGTTCCCTACATCCCAGCCCCACCCCACTTCACTCAGGCAGCACCTGGTGCCTCCGCTGTCACCACCCCTCACTAACCGCCGGGTGAGGTCTCGGCTTAGTTCTCCCCAACAGGCTAAGCTGCAGTGGCCTCAGCCCTGCAGCAGCTGCCGTCAAGCCTGGGAGCCAGCCCCGAGAGCACACAGCCAGCGGGAGGGCAAGGCAGCGCCTGCCCTGCTGCAGAACCTGTGCTCCGAGGGACGCACGCGCGCTATGCGCCTTCCTCTGAAGGTGTCTCCCGCTTGCTCTCGCACCCAAGTCCTGGCCCCTCCTCGGGCTCCCTGCATCCCCTGCCTGGACAGGAAACTGCTGATGGCTCCTCTGCTGGCCTGCGTCCCAATGTCCTGATGTGAACAGGCTCCCCAGGGCCAAGCGAAGGAGCTCAGGAAGGGCCCGCCCGCCACTCAGCTCCCGCGCCCTGCCCCAGCCACCTGCGCCGGCTTCTCCACTTCACTGCTCACCCTGGCTCCTCAGCAGACTCTGGCTCACGGGGGAACCCTGCCTGTCCCAGGAAGCACCGTCAGAGCTGGTGGGCACAGCCTGGGTCTTCAATCCAGTCCTTCCCCCAGGGCAGAGGGCCCCTCAGCTGCCTTTTGAAAGCCTGAGGCTCGAATGGGACCCCCCCCCTTCCCCAGTTGCTTTGCCCCCTCTCCACCCTCTTCCTCCTGCCAAGTGCCTCTGGGGGTGGCCGCTCACCTGGCACTGGGCTGTGGCTCCTCAGCTGGCCGTGTCTCCAAGGGCAGAAGCACAAGCGGGGAGGCTGGGGTGGCTGCAGCGTGGTCCTCCCCGAGTAGGGGAGGGGCACTCCCAGTGGGAGAGGCTGGCTCCCGTGGGGGTGGGGAGGAAGAGGTCAGGGGCCACGCTCCAGGCACAGGAGAGCACAAAGGGTCAGGCCCCCCGTGGCGGTGGCTGGCCCAGGGTGGGAGGGGGGGTGGAAAGGCAGGCTCCGGAGGGGTGGGCAGCTCTTCCGGACCAGAGTGGACAGAAGATTCTCTGGACCCTGGTGGGGATGTGGATGGGAGGCTGGGGGGATCCTGGCTCCCCTGAGACAAGGGGTCCAGGGCATCATCCTCAGCCCACAGATCAGGCTGCTGGGGGGTGACCGACAGGGGCTCCAGCCCCTCTCCTCCAGGTCCCTGGCTCTGGGCCTCAGGAGCCTCAGGGCCTTCCCTCTCTGGAGCCCCCCACATCTGCTGACTCAAGCTGGCTGAGAGTGGGGGCCTGGGGGCAGGGCCCTCGGGACAGCTGGTGGGCGCACACAGGCAGGGTCCAGACACAGGGGCGCTGGCGTCCTCTACATCCTCCAGGCCTGGCTCTCCCAGCAGGGTTCCGGAAGAATGGCTGTCAGACTCCGACTCCCGCTTCTCTCCCTCCTCCTGCATCTCCTGGGGACCAGCGGCCAGCACATCCGAGGCGGTGTCTTCTCCCCGTGCCCTGGCCCCGGCCCCGGCATCACTCAGTCCCCCAGCAGCCTTCTCTTCCTCCTGCTCCTCCTCTCGGGCCAGGGACTGGGAAGGTGTGAAGAGGCGCGGTGGCTTGGGGGGTGGCGTGCTGGGCTGCAGTCCCTTGTCCGACACCTGCTCCGGTTCAGGCTGTGGCTCCAGCTCCGGGGGGGGAAGCCCCTCGCTCCCCTTGGGGCCAATGGTTTCCGGCAATTCTGGCTGTACGTGGGGAAGGGGCTGCTCATCAGATTCTCCCTGCAGGACTGGCAAGGCCGTTTCGGTGGCAGGAGAAACGGTGACCACGTCCCAGGGCCAGGAGTCGTCCATTGTGCTGAGCTGCTGGGAAATCTGCCTTTCGGCCCGGGAGGCCTCCTGGTCCTGGCCCTCGGGGGCGTCATCAAGGCCGGGCAGCCTCTCCCACACGCTGATTACTTCTGGGGAGCTAAAGAGAGGCGTCCCACTGCCCGCCGAGCTCTGCCCTGCTTCCCCGTCTGGGGCTGGCGGCTCCCCGTCTGGATCTGAGTGCAGCCGGGCTGACGTGGCGGGCAGGCCAGCCCAGACAGACCCGCGAGGCCCCAGGGCGGCCGCGCTCATGCTCTGTGGGTCCAGTCCCAAGTCCAGGGGAATACTGAGCTCTGGCCAGGAAGCGCTCCCACCACCTCCTCCTCCTCCTCCCCCAGGGCCTCCTGGGGGCTCAGCTGCCTTCACTGTCATGGCCCCGGGGCCTGGATCTTGCGGCCCAGCCACCTGCAGCCCCACTCCTGCAGGGACCAGGATCTCGCTCCTGGCCTCTGGACGCAGCCTGCTCGCAGCAAAGAAGTTGAAGGTGTCGTCCCACTCAGGCAGGGCTTTCCCAGGGGAGGCCAGGGGGGCGGGGCCGGCCCTCGAGGCCCTGGGGAGAGAGGGAGCAGGTGAAGGAGAGTTTAGTGCTAGGTCGGCTACGAGCTCCTCGAAGAAGGGGTTGCTCTGCAAGGAGGTGAGGAACGGGTTGGTGACACCCAAGAATCCAGATGGGGTGGCTTCGGGGGCGGTGGTGGTGGCAGCGGCGGTGGCAGCAGCAGGGGAGGCGACTGCAAAAAGGTTAGTGCTTAGCATGGGAGCAGCGGCGGGAGCAGGAGTGGGGGGGGCCGCAGCCCAGGGGGAGCAGGGGAGGTGGTGAGGAGGAGCGGCTGGGTCAGATTCTACCTGAGGAGACACGTCCAGGCTGTGGAGGGAGACAAAACCGTGAGCCTCCTGGTTAATGCCAAGACCGGAAACACCGTGCAGAGCACCGCGCCGCTGCCGCCTCCCCCCTCCCCGCCACCGGTCACTCGGGCAGGGGACACAGCAAGAGCCCACAGAGTGAACACGACTGGGCGCTACCCGAGGAGGAGGATGCTGGGCAGAGCGAGCTCTAGGCCCATCCTACAGGCTGGATCCCAGCCTCAACCCAGTGTTCTTGCTCCCCCGGGCTGTCGTGTCCACTGGATGGCGATAACAGGTTTGCACCTCAAGCCGGGGACACTAGAGAAGAGCAAATCCCATCTGGCCTGGAGGCAACACAGAGGCCAGAGGCAGGCCGGGCCAGGGTGTCTGGCTGGGCAAAGCCAGCAGTGATGGGACCAAGCACCTGGAACTGGGGTTCCCAAAACCAAACGGCTCCTTCTACTAATGCCTCACAGAAGCAGGAGGTAAGGATGGGGCTCTCATCAGCAGTGCCAAGGTGTCAGAAAGAGAACCCACCCCTCTCATTTCTTTGAGGGGCACCCTAACCAGCCGAGGAGGGCAAGACACCTGTTGAGAACATCTACTGGGGGTCAGGTGTCCACACGGCCTGGCCGCTGGCAGACATGGCCCGTCACCTCAACCTCCTATGGGCCAGCTTCAGGCAACGAAGGCTGGAAACCTGGCTGCGGCAGCAGCTCTGAATGTCACCCTGGTGTCCCACACATGGATCCCCCAGGGCCATGGGCAAGGACAGGGCCCCGAGGAAATCCACTCCACAACCATGAGTCCACTCTCAGTGACATGGGAGAACACCCTCAGGCCTTCTGGTATCCTCTGCAGGGTCCTTTTACACACACACACACACACATGCACGCATACATGTGGACACGTGCACACAACATGCCCGCATACACACAGGCATCCACACCCACATCCACACACGCTCGCCGCCCGTCCTGCACACAGCCGCATTTTCGGAACTTGGCTGTTTCAGAGATGGAAACAGGGACATAGAGGCTAGAACGGTGCAGGGGAAAAGGGTGATCAAACGCCCCCAGTTTTCGGCAGTCTGACAGTGGCTGGCTCAAAATCGAGCCTAATGTCAGACCAGGCCGCAGGAGCCTCCCTCACTGCTGCCTGAGCAGTGTCCCAGCTCCCAGCTGAGTCCCAGCCCCCTTCCCTGACCCCTGGCTGCCCATGGAACACCCTGGGGAAAGCTTACACATCTCTCTTCTCCAGCAGCACCCTCTGCAGGGAACGAGGGGGTGAGCTTAGGTGGCAGGAGCCGGGCTCCGACAGACAAGGCACCAGGGACACTGTTAGAGCGGGATGGGCACCTGGGGAAAATGCCAAGCTGCCGGGGGCCCAGGACAGGGCAGGCCCACACAGCGACGGGCAGGCGTCCACTCAACTGGAGCAGAGCGGGCTCCCAAGGCCAACGGGCACAAGGGAGCAGTCAGGCTCACAGGCCACACACGGCCTGCTCCAAACCCAGGGGTCTGACCTAGTCTCTAGAGATTCTTACAGCCCCCACAATAACTTCCCATCTGAGGGAGGCTCCCGGTCCCCTCCAGCTGTGAGACAGGGGAGGAGGGAGGTGAAAGCTCATGTCCTCTCCCAGCCCACCTGGGCCTCCCAGCGCCACGCTGCTCTAGGACACAGTGTAGGGGGAGGTTCCAGAGCCCAGCACCAGCAGTGCCCCTGCTCCCTTCATTCCCAGTGGGCCCCAGGGCCCCAGCAGCGGTGCCGGCCTCGAGGACAAGGACTCTGCCCCCACCCATACCCTGCTGCAGCTTCTGTACCAGGCACAGTCCTGACCCAGGAATGGGGCTGGGGCACTCGGAGCTGCCCTTCCCTGGCCTCTGCTATGACCAGCGGCCAGGGAGTCCCATCAGATTCTCCCAAGAGTGGCCAGCTCATCCCACAGCTCCACTCACCCTCCCAGGCTTGAGCAATCTGGCTGGCGGCAGGAGCTGCAGGGAGAGGGGCACCAGTGAAACAGCCCAGAAGCCCCAGGCCAGGCCCAGAAGTCGGCCTCCTCCCACTGCTCCCCAGAGAGGTACAGGCTCCCGTTGGTAGGGAACCAGCAAAGGGCTCTCTCTAGAGGCTGGGGCTCCAGGCACCAGGCCTGGCCGGCTTCCCGGAGCAGTCGGTGCCTCTGAGGGCCACTGGGCGTGTGGTACACCTTCCTGGCCCTACTGCACACCGAGTGCACAGCCCCTCCCTGCCACTCCATGTGGTCCAGGCCTGAGGCCTGCTCCTGGGCATGGTTAACCTGCAGACAGCCACGCTCACTCAGGGGACAGAGACGGACACTTGCATGTCTGGCAAGTCTCCCTGGCCCCAGCAGTGCGGGCAGCTAAATCTGCTGATTTCTCTTCTCTTCTAGGACCAAATGCTGGGGAAAGAAACCCCAAGTTCAAGGGTCTCTGCACCTTGCCCCTGAAGGACTAACACTTAGGGCCAGCAGGGACCTCAAGATGACCAGACAAAGCTGCCGCTTAATGCAGCCATCATCTGCTTCCTTGGATACTTCAGCCCCACACCAGGGTGCCACCTCAGTCACTGGGTGTTACCAGCAGGCACCTCCTGGCCACACTGAGATGGGCTCTGTGCCCTTCCTTCTCCAAGCATCAGTCCTAGGGGAATGTGGGGTGCGACTGGGCCCACAGAGGTGCCCCACCAGGCTGTCCCACAAAAGGCCTGAGGAGGCCTGCAAGGCATGCCCAGCCCTGCCCAGCCCTGCCCTGTGCCCTTCAGCCATGCCCCCAGGCCCCAACTGCCCAGACTCTTCCTGAGGTGTTTCCCAGTGTCCAGGAGGCTGGACACATCCTCATTCCTCCTCTGGGCACAATCAGGTGACACGGGGGCCTCATTAGCCACAGGGGTAGACCATGTGATTTGTCTCTGAAACAAGAACACTTAATACAGCAACCATGCCAGCAAAACAGGCAAGGCCACGCTGATGCCAAGTGACTGGACACATGAGTGAGTCCTCATTTACCCACTAAGAATGCAACCTGAGGCCCCGAGCGCTCTCGCAGGGCCTACGCCCATGAGAAAAGCCGGGTACTCACCTGTGCTCCCTGACTATGCACAGGGGGCGGGGGCGACAGGGGCTGACACCATGGTCTTGCCTGTCCTCAAACACCCAGCCGCAGCCCATGCCACAGTTCAGTGGGAATGGCCGGAAGCAGGGCTGGTGGGCAGGGGTGAGTCCTGAGGCCCAGATAAAAGCTTAGTCTCCTCAACTTCCCTCGTTCCCCCGCCAGACACACCCTGCTGGGGCCAGCAGGCGGGAGCCATGTGAGGAAGGACAGGAGGACCACCCCTGGGAAGCCCCCATCCTCGGGCCCTGCTGCTCTCTTCTGCCTTCTCCCACGGCAGCCTTTATCTGGATACCGCACTCTTACAGCTTCAGGCTTCTCCCTGGGGCATCGGTGCCGCATGGGAGCACTAGAGGGCGCCGCTGCCCTTACAATGATCGCCGGGAGCCGCAGGGCAGAGCGCCCAAACCTCTGGCCCTCTGGAGGGGCTCTCTGGGTTCCGGCGGGAGACCCTGCAGCTACTGAGCCTCCTAGTTCAGAGTCCAACCTGCAGCTTCCAGCTGTGAGCCTCCCCTCCTTCAAGGCACGTGGGGCCAGTGCTGCTGACGGGGCTCACTGTCCAGCTCTCGCCTATCTGGTCCAGGCCAGGCCACTTTACCCAAAGAACAGCCCTTCTCCACTCTGCCTGGATGCCCAACCCCAGAGCCTACCCCTGCAGCTGCCACCTTCAAATGGGCCCCCAAGGAGGGCAGGGAGGTCCTAGGTGCCCACAGCCTCCTGAGGACAAGGACAAGGTTCAGAATTCAAGGGGAGCAGGAGAGAAACATCAGCCTCCGGGTGTTGATCTGTGACCCAAGTTCTCCAGACTCTGAAAGGCCATGAGGAGCACGGAGAAGGAAGAGGGGGCCAATCAGCATCCCAGGAGTGGCCACCACGCTAGCTCTACATCAATGTGGTCACGGCCAGCAGGTGCCTGGATGATCACCTCCATACCTCACAGAAATGGCCCCACCTCCGCTCCCCCACGGACACCACTGAATGCAGAGCCCCCAGCACCTCCTAGATCTCCTGCCAACTCCAAATCCCTCTAGGTGCCACAGAGGCACCAGGCTCAGGCTGGGCAGACAGAGACCCATCATCCCCGCCTCTCCTCTCCTCTCCTCAACTGCAGACGGCCAGCCGCTCCCTGGGTTCCAGGGAGCAAGGGCAGGTGGGGGGTGGGGTACAAAAGCTTCCACCCCAAGCAGGGGGAAAGGGTGGCAGCTCCTCGGGCCTGATCTAGCTTCACACCTGGCATCCAGAAGGCTCTACCAGCACTGCCACCAGGCCAAGGCCCAGACCCAGGAATGCCTGCTTCCCCCTCACCCCTCAGCACTGGGAATTTCACAGGGAAAGAGAAAAGCTGGGACGGCAGCGTTCAGAGGCCCTCCCTCTGCCCGGTCTCTCACCCTTCGCCACTGAACCCTGCCTCCCCACCCCACCTCCTGTCTCCATTTCCATGGAGGTGGACGCAGGTTTGCTCAGGGAGTACAAGCAGCCGCCCTGCCACACCGGCTGGGGTAGCCACACATGCTGCCTGTCCAGGGCCTGAGAAAGAGGGGACCTGCACTTGTGACCGCCGCCTGGAGCCCCGCCCCAGGCTCAAAGTTAGGAGGAGGCGGAGGGGCCAGGGTGAGGGTGACAGGCTGTGCCCAGGGTTCGAGCCGGAAAACCCGGCACGTTCGCAGCAGAGTATCTGTCATCAGCACTTCCCACAGTGCCACACTCTAAGATGAGACACACCAGAGAGGGCCGCAGCCGCCACGCATGGCCAAGGCCAAGGCCAAGGTTACACATTTCAGGAAGCTGCACTCAGTCTCTGGCCAGGCTGGGAAGCAAATGGAGATGAGAGCAGGAAGCAAGGAGCAGCTCTCAGAGGAAAAGGCTCACAGAGCTGATAGGACAGCTGGGGCCAGGTCCAGCTTCAGAGACGGGGGACACGAGAGGGTTGCAGGCCCCAGCCCTCACTTTTCTACGTGCCAAGGCTTCCTTACCTTGCAGCCAAGAAGCCAAAAATCCATACAAACGGCCCCTCCCTGGAGGGTGGGCGTGCAGCGAGGCCGGGCTGAGGACTTGGACCCTTCCGTCCATGGGACCCTCAGAGCACGGTGCCCTCGCAACTCCCCTGTGTCTGTGCAGAGAGCCTGGGCTTGGGCAGGTGCCGCGGTTTCCCATGCAAAGCCAGCGCACAGCAGCCTGCCAAGGCCCCTGCTCCAGGACGCAGGTTCCAACTCCCTGGGAGTCTCCCCAGGAGCAAAGCTGGCCCTGCTCAACACCCACCTGGGTTTCTGGGTAGGTTCCTTGGCTTCTCTCAAACCGAACCAGCTGCTCTTGGTCTTCTCCTCCCCGCTGGAGGGGTGGTGGGGAGAGGCCCCCAGAGTGGGAGCCGCCTTCTCTCCCACAGAGCCCCGGCGTCCCAGCTCGCTGCGACTCAGCCCCGGGTGGTGGTGGTGGAAGAGCCCCATCCGAGGCTTGCGCTCCTCCTTCCGGGCTCCTTCCTTCTCTACCACAGCCTCAGGGGGGGCCACGATGGGAGTGGCGACCTGCACTGGCTTCCCCTCGGTGGGCAGGGCCCCCTCCTCCTCCCGGGAGCGGCCGGCCAGCGCTTTGGCCTGGGCGCTCCGCTCCTGTCCGGCCACTGCCTCTGAGCTGCTGGCGCTGCGGCTGCCTCTGCCCCAAGAGTCATCCGTGGAGCGAGGCGCGTCCTCCGAGGGCCGGGAAGAGACGCCGTGCAGGGAGCTGGAGGGTGGCAAGGGGCCCGAGATGGAGCTGCGGTGCCGCGGGGGGCCCTGGGGCTCCTCGTTGTAGATGTGGCTCCCGTTGACACAGAGCGAGGAGCGGGAGGCGGCATCCAGGTGGCCCTGGAGGTCCAGGAGAGCCCGAGGAGGGGCGGCGCGCACCTGGCTGGCCTCGTCACTGTAGGTCCTCTTATGGGCAAGCAACTTGGGGGAGGGTGCAGGGTCCCTGCCTGAAATGGAAACACACGTGGGGTCAGCACCGGGGAGGCAGGAAGCCGGTGCCTGGCCGTGGGCCGTGGGCCTTCCCCACCCCACCCCCACAGGGGAGAGGCATGCTCACCGCCTTCTGAGGACAGCCAGCTGCTGCGGCTGGGCGAGCGGGTGAGGAGCTCGGCCGCCGGGCCCTGGTAGGCCAGGCTCCCGCTGGCCGAGGACAGGGTGCTGTCGGAGCCCAGCGAGGTGTTGGACTGGGTCAGCGAGGACTTGCGCAGCTTGTTGCGGAGGAAGAAGCCCTTAGCCTTGCCCATCTTGCTCAGGCTGCCCAGCTCGGGGTCCTCCAGGGCACTGCTGGGGAGGATGGCGGAGGCAGACTCCAGGTCAAACTTCTTCTTGCCCTTCATCTTGTCCTTGATCTTGCTGAAGGGGGAGCGCGGCTTGTCCTTCATGGACAGGTCAAACATGCTGGCGCTCAAGTTGTTGCGGGTGAACTGGATGGTGACTTGAATCTCCCCGCGTTCTTTCTCCTTCTTGCCTGCCTTGGAGTGCAGCTTGTACCACCTGCGGGAAGAGGGGAGCGGGCAGAGCTCTCAGCACAAGCCAGGGAACCCCACAGGGCCCCGGCTGACTGCCTTTTCCCACGGGTTCTTGCTCCCCACACTGGCCACTGGCATAGCTGAGAATGTAGCCTGGACTTTCCCACAATGAAAAAAACCACATCCTGAGTAGGGGAAGCTCCTCAGGGGCCACCAAGCAGGACAGTGGCCACCACACCATGCCCCTCACCCACCCCAATGCTTGTCCCTGGAGCTCGGAGACACCCCCTTCAGCTCCATCCCTTACATCTGAAACTCTGAGGCCCAGAGGGGTGAACTGGGCCTGGGAGGAGACCCCATATCTGGAGGCCCCTGGCACAGAAAGACCTACCCACATTTTCCCCTCTTTATGTCACTTCCTCTGGCCACTGCCAGCCAAAGCTCTACTCTGAGCCACCAGTGAGCCCAGAAAAGAACGCAGAGGCCCGGGCCCAGAAATAGCAGTGCACTGAGACACGCACACACCCCACACCCACACACTGACTCACCCCCAGGTCCTGCCAGGGGTACCCTGTGGCGGGAGGAAGAGACGGGAGTGGCAGAAAGAGGCCACTGAAGAGGCCCAGGGCAGAGGATGGGCACTCAAATCCACTGAGCAACTACAGTGTTGTGACCCATAAAAGACTCTATGCCCATTTTATAGATGAGGAGGTTGAAGCTCTAAGGTAAGGTAATTCCTCCAAGAACAAGCAGCCAGTGAAAGAGAGGGGAGACTCAGAGCCAGGTTTTCATTATACCAAAGCCCATTCTTCCCATTACATAAGAGATCCCTGGTACCCGTGACCCCAGACACACGTGATCCCTGACACACACGATGCTCCCACACCACAGAGGACGGCAACTTCTTAGAAAACCAAACACTCTAGTCACGCAAGGAGCCATGGCCCTCCCTGGTATCTGCCCAAGTGAGGTGAAAACCCATGTCCATGAGAAAACCTGCACACAAATGTCTACAGCAGCTCCACTCACACATGCCAAAGGGCAGAAGCATCCAAGACGCCCTTCTGTAGAGCAAATGGATAGATCACGCTGCTTCCAGGTAACAGAGGCCCACACAGCAAACTCTCAGGCTGTGAGAAGACATGGGAGGGCCTTCAGGGCACAAGCGAAAGAAGCCAACCTGAAGAGGCTTCGTACATGCAGATTCCACCATGTGCCACTCTGCTAGAGACAGGGAAAAGATGGGTGGCCGACGCGGGTCTGCAGGGTGGCAGGCCGGGGAGCACAGGGCAGCCAAACTGCCTACCTTCCACCCATTTTTTGTAAAATTACCATTACACTAAAAAATAAACTAAATTTTAAAAAGGAAAAAAAGGGCAGAAAATACAAAAAGGAAGGAACCATGAAATACAAGTTTTCCTGAACTGAAGACTTACGCGAGCTCCAACACAAAAAGCCCCCAAGTAGGGGCCAGTACTTTGGTCTGGTAGGTTAATCCTCCGCCTGTGGCACCGGCATCCTATATGGGAGCCAGTACTAGTCCCAGCTGCTCCCCTTCTGATCCAGCTCTCTGCTATGGCCTGGGAAAGCAGTGGACAATGGTCCAAGTCCTTGGGCCCCTGCACTCACATGGGAGACCCGGAAGAAGCTCCTGGCTCCTGGCTTCAGATTGGTGCAGCTCCGGCCATTATGGCCATTTGGGGAGAATCAGCAGACGGAAGACCTTTCTCTCTGTCTCTCCTTCTCACTGTCTATAACTACCTCTCAAATAAATAAATAAAATCTTAAAAAAAAAAAAGCCCCCAAAGGAGTGGGCGTTTAGCCTGGAGGTAAAGATGCCTGCACCCCACATCAGAGTCCTGACCCCGTATTCCAGCCAATGCAGGCCCTGGGAGACAGTGATGATGGCTCAAGTAATTGAGTTCCTGCCACCCACATGGGAGATCTGGATTGAAGTCCCAGCTCCTGGCTCCGGCCCGGCTCTGGCCCGGCTCTGGCTGTTGTGGGATTCCGAAGAGTGAGGTAGTGGGTGGAAGCTCAGTCTATGTCTATCTGTCCTGCTCTTTCTGCGCCTCAAATCAACACAGTAATTTTTTTTATTTTTATTTATTTATTTATTGACAGGCAGAGTGGACAGTGAGAGAGAGAGACAGAGAGAAAGGTCTTCCTTTGCCATTGGTTCACCCTCCAATGGCCGCCGCGGCCGGCGCGCTGCAGCCAGCGCACCGCGCTGATCCAATGGCAGGAGCCAGGTACTTATCCTGGTCTCCCATGGGGTGCAGGGCCCAAGTACTTGGGCCATCCTCCACTGCACTCCCTGGCCACAGCAGAGAGCTGGCCTGGAAGAGGGGCAACCGGGACAGAATCCGGCGCCCCGACCGGGACTAGAACCCGGTGTGCCGGCACCGCAAGGTGGAGGATTAGGCTAGTGAGCCGCGGCACTGGCCTCAACACAGTAATTTTTAAGAAGTCTGAAAGCCTCAAGTATGCAGCACTATGACTAAAGACAGACTCAAGCCAAAAGATGTCACCACGAGGGTTCTGACCCTTGCCAAACGCAGCAAGGAGGCCCAGACTCCCATCAAGGGGAAAGAGACACCAGCGTCGGGACAGCACTGCAGCCCTCTACTGCAGCACGGACACACAGGGCGCAGTGCCACGTCCCATCGGAGTGGAAAACTCCCCAGCCCCCAGCTCTAGATCCAGCCAATCAAGCAAGGGAGACCACAACCTGAAAAAGTGGTCAGATGTCACCAGAGGGTGCAGAAGACCCTTGAGATACACACACGTGCAAACACACCCTGCACCCACACCCACACCCACACCACGTGCACACACACCTACACCCTCTCACACTTCACATACACCACACACACACACATGCGTCACAAGCACAGGCACACCCCCACACAGGCACATACACCACATGCCCACGCATACCCTGGTCAGTGGCATAGGGGTCATTGCTCCCCTGGGAGCCACCCACCCAGGCTTTGGATAGACACAAAGGGGTTAGGAGTGGGCAGTCCATTGTACAAAAGTTCCTGAGGATTCAAATATCCAGACCTGAGTCACTGTGAGGGCGTGCTGGCAGCAGTGGCTGGTTTCAGTTTGTTTCTGAACATTGCAGACGTGTTTCTGGCGGTCTCCCCACCTCCAGCTGCACCCCTTTGGAAGAGTCCATGTTGACTAGACCCTCGCAAGGTCATCAGGGGCTGGGGCCTGGTTCCTCCCAGGGCCCCACTTGGAGGCCTGAGCAGAGGGTGCCTGGGCTGCAGTCTCCCTCTCAGATCTCGGGGGCCAGGCCCTGGGAAGGCAAGCTCAGGACAGGCGGCAGCTCACACAGCAGGGCAGAGGACCGTGCTGGGAGGCCGTGGGTGCCTGCATGAGCCAGGGCGGGAAGTGCTGAGCGAGACAGACGGGCTGTGTGTGAGGGGGTTCACAGGGGCCCCAGGGGAGGTTCAGCACAGAGCAGCCCGCCAGCACAACATCCTCAGCCCTTACTTGCTCAACCCAGCGTGCACCTTGGGCCTGACCCTGTTAACTCCCACTTCTCGAGGGCCCAAGTCCTTCCTAAACCTGGATGAGGCCCCAGTCATTGGGCACAGCAAGATCCTGGGAGGTGGGGTCAGGGGGCACGGATGAACACCAGCCCCAGACCAGTCAGGCCCCGACTGAGAAACGGGAACCAACGAGCCCCAACAGCCTCCACCGGGCTCAGCAGTCTGGGGCTGGGAGCCCCGCTGGTCCCAGTCCACACAACGGCCCCAAGTGGGCCTCTCTCTGGGTGAGAGCACCTGCGCTTGTCCTGCTTGGCTTTTTTGTAAGGAGCACACGGACGGCTGTCACAGGAACAAGAGGGCGACAGGAGCATGGTCGACCGCTTCAGAGAGCTCGGAGGAGCTGAGCCCCTCTCCACAATCACGCTCGCCAGGCAGGAGGCAGGGCGGAGATCCTGCCCAGTACATCCCTGACACCCACCCAGTTCCTCAGCCCGAGGCACATAAATCCCCCACCCGCACGCCCTTCCTATGGGTGGCCAACCGCTCCACCTGCAGCCCACCCATCCCCACTCTCACACAGTCGGGGGAATCTAGCTCTCCAAGCCCCAGGCTCCACCTGCTCAGGACACAAGGGTCGATAAAGATGATGAACAGCTGGGCCTTCTCCCAGATGGCTCTGCAGCCACGGCATGACAGAAGAGTCCCTACACCTGGACACACGATGGACACTGCTTCAGGAGAGACACGCACCAGGGCTTCTCAAACTGCCAAGTGAAAAAAATCACTGCAAATGCTGGGCAGGGAGTTTGGCGCAGCAGTTAAGGCGCTGCTTGGGACATCCACATCCCATACTGGAGTGCCTGGAATCCAGTCCCAGCTCCATTTCCAAATCCAGCTTCCGCTAAAGTACACCCTGGGAGGCAGCAGGTGTCAGTTCAAGCAGAGGGTCCTTGCCACCCACATGGGAGACCTGGAGTGAGCGCCTGGTTCCTGCTTTCTACCTGGCCCAGCCCCAGGAGTGAATAACACAAAAGCACACTCTCTCCCTTTCAAATAATTTTTCAGATTTATTTATTTATTTATTTGAAAGAGTTACACAGAGAGAGAAGGAGAGGCAGAGAGAGAGAGAGAGTGGTCTTCCATCCACTGGTTCACTCCCCAATTGGCTGCAACAGCTGGAGCTGGGACAATCCGAAGCCAGGAGCCAGGAGCTTCTTCTGGGTCTCCCACACAGGTGCAGGGGCCCAAGGACTTGGGCCATCTTCCGCTGCTTTCCCAGGCCATAGCAGAGAGCTGGATCAGAAATGGAGCAGCCGGGACTAGAACCGGCACCCATATGGGATGCCGGCACTGCAAGTGGAGGCTTTACCCGCTATGCCACAATGCTAGCCTCATAAATAATTTTTTTAATGCAGATTCTGACAACCTATGTGCAGATGGGCCCAGAAGGTCCCACTTCTGCCCAGCTCCTCAGACCACACCAGAGTGGAGGGATACACACGAGGGGGTATGAGACCAGCCA